AAGGTTAGGTGTGAACCGGAAAAGCTTCTGCCGATCACAATTCAACAACGGATTATGAAAGAATGGATAACGCTCGAAACACGCGGATTCTTCCTGATGTAAGAGGTGAGTCTCCGCTTCGTTTTGGTTGTTTTGGTGTCGACATCATCCTAGCGCGCAACGTTCTGTGACTCTTAAAAAAACTGTAAAAACGGTGATAAACGCTGGCAGCGAAGGGCTTTACCGATCAGGAAACGGCTGGCAGTGAATGAGTTAAGGATGTTGGCCTCTGACCATTTCAGTTTTCTCTGAGATATCAGTTTTACCCGTTACCCATCATAACTCAGTTGTTCTCAAATGAGGTATTGTTACAAGCCATCTTCCCAAGCTAGCCTAACTCTTCAAAAGATGTTAACGTCTCAGGGTTCACTTGTATTTCTATTTGCGTGGGCGTGACACCAGCCACTCTTTAAAACGCCCTCACTCTGTAGAAGCTGATTAGCAATCACCGCTAACCTAGACTCTGATTCTGGCAAAACCAACTTTATGCGGCTCAAGGGAGACTCGGTTTACTCACAACATCTGTTCAGGTTAAAACAGGTTATATCCACAACATGAATCGTTTAACCATATCAGCAGAGTGAAGGCACATCACTAATTTACAACATCACAGTTCAGGCGGCTACTGCCAGGACACACACACACACACACACACACATACACACGACAAGAGAAGGTAACAGGCCTTTATCTTGGTTTCACACACACAGATTGAGGTGTATTCCAAAACTGATTTTTATAATTATTCAGGTCTGGAATGAACCAGATTCAGCAGGTATTTAAGTGATAACACTGCATCAGTTTTTAGAGAACTTATGAATATGTCAACGAGTCTCACAACCAACTGTGTTTTGCTGGTGAATGTTCTTCTCAGTCATCCAGGTCATGGTAATCCAAAGGGTTCAAATGAAGGCAACTGGACTTCTTTGGTTTCGTGAAGACGTTTTGCTTCTCATCCGAGGAGCTTTGTTATTTCTAACTGGCAAATGGGAGAGTCAAGCTTATAAGCTGTAGCTGTTGTTATTTAATGAGCAGAAACTACTGTGGGCACCCCGCCTCTCCCAACAGTATGACAACAACAGCTACAGCAGGTATGATCTAGCTGAACAACTGTTTGGAGACAAACAACCTCCAGGATGATTTTCAGTCAGGCTTTAGACAACACCACAGCATGGACACTGCACTGAATAAAGTATTAAATGATATCCATATTGATACAGATTCAGGCAAAACATCTGTTTGAGTGATGCTCGATCTCAGTGCAGCTTTTGATACTGTGGACCACAACATCATTTTTGATAGACTAATGAACCGGGTGGGACTTTCAGGCACAGTCCATAGTTGGTTCAGCCTGGCAAGCCAGACTAAATAAATGTATTATTTAGTCTGGCCACGCTCCATTGACAGCTCTCGGTTGTGGGGCGGGTTCTACCGTTGTCTTTCAAATGATCTCCGCATTCCACTGGACAATAAATGTGACATACTCTTGTTTCACTCTGTTGCATCACCCCACCCACCAGGCATATAGAGTGCCCTGATTGGCCCACAAAGCGGATAAAGCTCTGTGATTTGTTCACTAAGCAGATAGAGCACTATGATTGGTCCACCATTATGGACCAATCACAGCTCTTTGTGTGTTTGAAACCCCTCTAGAGAGCTGTGATTGGCTAGCCAGAGTCCTGGTAGGAGCTGTGGAGGTTCCAATGGAGCTTGCCTAGACCAAACTTTGCAAAGCAAGAATTTGGTCTAGTTCACTAGGCTATAGTTGGTTCCAATCATACCTCGCAGACAGGAGTTATGTTGTTTCCATTGGTGAACACAAATCAAAGCAAATTGTCCTGCCATGCAGTGCACCCCAAGGCTTGATGCTTGGAACACTGCCTTTTAATCTCTACATGCTGCCACTGGGCCAGGTCATAAACAACAACATCGCCTACCACAGTTATGCAGATGAAACCCAGATCTACCTAGCTCTATCACCTAGTGAATCTGGTCCCCTAGACTCATCCTGTCAGTGCCTAGAGCAAGTTAATGACTGGAAGCAATCAAGTTTCCTCCAGGTAAACAAAGACAAGACTGAAGTTATTGTCTTTGGAAATAAGTCTAGGATGGAAGCTATTTCTCAACTTAGCTCCAAGTGAGTTTTAAATCAAAATTAAAAACCTTCATGTATTCATCAGCCTTTGAATGAATGTTTCAATGCTGCACTTTCTGCACTGTAACTTTTGACTATGCCTTTTATCTGTTTGTTAAATCTTAAATTAATATCTACATTTCTTTGTTTGATTAACTGTGTTTGCTGTTTTTGCTTCTGTAAGGCACATTGAATTGCCTTTGAAATGTGCTATACAAATAAAGCTGCCTTGCCTATATTTCTTTTGTGTGGTGCAATTCAACCTGCTAGGTGGCAGCAGTTTTTACCACCATCATTCTGACGCATCAACGATATCTCATGATAACACTGTCTGTGCCTTGGAAGCATCTGGCTAGGGCTGAGCCATAGTGCCTAAAATCAGTATCACGGTATATTGAGGGTTTCACCTCGATAACAATAAATGGACGCTAACCACATGTATGCTAAGAAACAAAAGTTGTTCATTAGATGGGGTGCATGTATTACGTTGAGTCACGTTGTCACATGACTTGAGGTGGTACAGCTTTTATTGACAAGGAAAAAATGATATCGGTTAGAGTCAGTAATTTCGATAATGATACATTTTTGATTTACTGCCCAGCCCTACGTCTGGCCTGAGTTTTCTATTTAAATTCAGTCTTACAAATTACAAATATCGCCTGTTGTTAGTATCGCAATGTACTGTATCGTCTATTGTAATAAATACATCGTTTTGCCAGATTGTTTCTAAAATGCCTCCCTACCTAGGAGCATTTTAGTGATATTCCTGTGTGTCTGGTACACTCAAGACCATCTGTTTAAAACAAAAGGAGACAGTAGCGATCACCAGTAGTTAAGTTTCATAGCAAACATTTTAAAAATCCAGGGCCAAACCTTTACCACACATCTATGTTTTTACATTTAAACATTTTGTCCTTGTTTTCTGATTTTCACCTTGTAATTTCAAATAAAAAAAGCCAACTATTTAGATTCAGCAGTTTAGAGACTAACTCATCTAAAGCCATTTTACTGGTTTGGCCCAATGGAGTCCAAACACACACTCGGCAGAGATGGACTCACAGAACGCTAACGTAGATATTTCATCCCCTCTGCAGAAAGAGTGTACAACTCTTCAGTTTAAGCTGCACTGGCATTGTCCTGGTACAAATAACACCAATGCAATATTCAGTATGTGTTCAATACTTGTGCAATACCATATTTACATAGTATGTCCTTGTTCCATGCAATATGCTGCATAGTTTAGAACCCAAGTTTTTTCATTTAGATTAGATTCCTACCTATGTGTACATACTAGGGCTGCAACGGTTCGTCGACGTTGTCAACAAATATCTACAACAGAAAGAGTCGACAAACAGCAAACAGAAATGGCGGCGTCCGACACAGCAGCTACGTGTACCAAACATCTAAAGTTTGGGAGCATTCTAGCCTGGATTTGGCGAATAAAAAGATGACCTGCATTATTTGCAAAGCAGTCCTCGCGTATCACGGCAGCACCTCGGTGATGCATGAACACTTAAAGAGAAAGCATGTCGGACAGTTGAATGAAACGAAGTCTGACTCACCTCGGTAAGACTTAAATTACACAAAAGCCAAAACATTTTGGATGTACATTTTTTTAAACGTATTTTCGCTTTTAAAAAAGAGAGATTTAATGTTATGCCTGACTGTGCCTGACAAAAGTATTTTAATTTTATTTATGCATTTATGTCTGTACTGACTGAGCACTGTGCCTACTTGATGTAAGACATTTTTATTTACTTTTAGTATGAATTGGCCTATCAGCAGCAAAGTTCAATAAAATATGCATTTTCCATTGAAGTACCCATCTTTCTTGTGTTTATTATCATTTTTCACATAATTAAAGCAATCTCATGCTAAACTTAAGACTAATCATTTCAATAATCGGTGACTAGTCCACTATTAAAATAGTCGTTAGCAGCAGCCCCAGTACATACATGTACTTTTGTTATTATTTTACTTCAAATTATCCTAACAAGTGTTGGTGCTGCTATAACAAGTGAATTTCCCCATTGTGGGATCAATACAGTCTATTCTACTCTACTCTATTCAGCGTGTGAATGTGTGTGTGAATGGGTGAATGATACACTGTAGTGTAAAGCGTTTTGGAGTCCTTACTCTGAGAGGCGCTATACAAGTGCAGGTCATTTATCATTTATTCTATTCAACTCTACTCTATTCTACAAGAGCAATATAAAGTTTGGCCAATAAGAAGCTGCAACACCCCTCACTGACAGGTCATGGGCTGCTCAGTGTGGGAACACAACGACATATTCAACTTTAATAAGTGGTCAGCCGTCTGGACGGTAGCGTCACTCCACAGGGAGGAGACAGGAAGAGGAGCCTTCACGGAGGGGCTGAGAAACAATCTGGACACTTTCACAAGACCCTTCAAGGGACAACAAATTCTCGTGTGAATTCTACACTTCCTGAGGAGACAGGGAGTCCGTGCACACAAACACATGTCACATGAAAAGTCCTGGTAGAAAACAAACCTCCGCTTTGATTTTACTAATCAGGCTCTGGTTCTTATTAGGTTTGACCCGGAAGCAACCAACAACCAGCGGTTTAGACACACTGAATGCATGACATTAAACATGATCCTGACACACTTTTATATGGACTTCATGCTCAACAGAGCTTCGTGGTTCTCTTATAACCTAAAATAACCAACAGATTCTTCCGTTTCTGCCCAGTTCTAAAGATTAAAAACTGGCCAAAAAGCTTCAATTGTTCTTCTCGTGCAGCTTGAGATTCTCTCCCTCTTCCTTTTCTAACTCTTTCACAACTTATGACCTTTGACTCTGACCTTTACGGCCACATCCTCCGTCTCCGTGGGTCTCAACAGCCGCCTGCTTGGCTGCTCGTAGTTGTCCATCTGGTAACGCATCGGCTGCTTCCTGTTGATGGCTTTGGTCTTCAGAGGGACAACAGAGGGTGAAGAGGAAATACGGACATTTTAGAACTGGTCTTGTTTTAATTTCTGGTAATATGACACAAACATGTTGTTACTTCCAGAGCCCTTGCCTGCCATGTTTAAAATGACTGCTATAAGGTTTTAATTAGATTATTCAGGCTTTTTATTGTGCTGGTAATCTTTTTGAGCCCTGGTAAAAACCTCCCGATTCCCGAAGACCAGCTGGGTGTATTAGTGGAGACTGAAGGACATTAAATCCTGAGAGGAAAACCAGAGTTCCCAGTTAGATCCAGAGAGGAATGATTTGGTTTGGGTTGGGTCAGAACCACCTGAGACCCCGCCACTGAGGTTTCTGCAATTCTTTATACTTAAACTGATCTTTTCTACGGCTGTTCCCTAAAACCAGGCAGAAGACCAGAGGCCACTGAGCCTTTAGGTCAGCTGACCTGGGCTTCACTCTGGTAAGGCTGAACTCCAGCAAATCTCTAGCCTAGAGATCTAGACAGTAGCAAAACATTTAAAGGGATACTTTGCAAAGTTTTTCATACTTTAAAATCATTTTCTTGAACCAGTCACTGCTAAAACGACCCTGTACGGGGTTAATCAAAGGCCACACAGCCCCCCTCGCCCCCTGTGACCAGAATATTCCACTTGCAACTTCACAGTTGCTGGTCTGCTCTGTTGGGACTTCACTGAGCTGGCCCACCTGTTCTGCAGTCTGGCTTCAGCACATTTCCTGCATGTTTTAGATCATGAACACAGCTGATTTGTTTACTTTAGTGATGATTCACTCCTGTAGACACTAAGGAAGGCTGGGGAGATGTTTCAGCTGTTTGATTAAGGCAGGGCTATTAAATTCCAGGCCTCGAGGGCTGGTATCAGCACGTTTTAGTGGTTTCTCTGGTCCAACACACTTGATTCAGTGCTTGAATCACTTGTGCAGCAGCTCATCAGGTTCTGCAGAAGTCTGTTGATCACCTAATTAAAATCAGATGAGTTGAAGCAGGGTTAAAAACAAAATTAGCTGGATACCGGCCCTGGATTAAGGTGATAAAAAGACAAACGCTCAGCGAAGAAATAGGTTTTACTTTTGGTTTCACAAACGAACGCTAGGCGGTGCTAAAAGCAACCAAAACTGCCCAGTTCCCCTTTAACTCTGCAGGTTGCTCTAGCCATGCTCCACTGTAGCCTCAGCAGGTCTACCATTGGCCTGAGCTGTTTTGTGAAGGGCCAATCACAGTGCTCTTCGTTTGTTGGGAGGGCTTTGCTCTAAGGCTGAAACGTATCATCGCATGGTTCGATTAATTAAATTCCTCGATTAATTTTTTACCGATTCGAAGCTTCGTTAAATGTGCTCTCCACAGTCTGAACTAATTTTACCATTACATGGTAATCTAGGTGCAGTGGAGGAAAATGGAGAAACCAGCAAAGACACAAACCATTGGAAAAGGCAGAAACGGTCCAGAGTTTGGGATCAAGAGTTAAACTATGAGAAGAATTGCTAACGCTAAGCTAACGGGTAGCATTCTCACGAGCAAGTGTGGTTCAGAAAAAACGTGATGTTTGTGAATGACTAAACTCCACCAGCGGAAGATCCTATTTATGTGTAGATGTCTGCAGTGGTGCGAGCCAGAGCCGCTGCCCCCATCCACCGCAGCGGGTCAAGCTCAAGCTGATGTAGCATATAATTCACAAACACGTTTACATTTGAATACAATTTAGACTGGATAATGTTGCCAACCTGTACATAATAAAATATATATACGACAAGCACATTGTTACCAGTAGAAATGTAATGTTATTAGCATTTCCAGTAGCTTTCTACTGAACATGTTAATAAAATAAATAAATTCTACTGATTATATGTGAATATATTTAGATGTTATTTTGACTAGGATGAGATTAATGCATACCTAAAATGTGAGTCAAAGTTTGTTCCATTAAATATTTATTAATTATAAATATCAGCTGGGCACTAGACAACACCAATTGAAAATATATTATTGAGCCTTTTATCATTTTCCTGTTTTATTTTGATATTTTTAGCAGGGGCGGATTTAGGACTGAAGAACATCCGGGGCTTAACACACGTGCGCACGCACGCGCACACGCACACACGCGCGCACACACACGTGACACGCACTAGTCAACATCATATGTCTTGTACCACATAATTTTTAATCTGAAGCTACATATTAAGCATATTCAGGGCAAAGTATTGTTCCTGTTAGTGTTTAGTGTGAGATGATAGTAAACATTCCCTTTCTTTCTCCAACAACTTTACCTGATAGTAAGCTAACTTTAGGCAAACCAGCAGCACAACAAACATTTTCAAATAAGACTCACAAACCTGAGTCAGCACCAGTCTCATCAAAGCTGGGGTTCTGTTGTTGTACTTTTTGTCTAAAAAAGGTCATGTCCATCTTCACTCATGCGTTTCAGGCAGAGAGTGCAGAAGAAGCCGGCTGCTGAAGGGCTTCTTCTTCAGTGGTGGAGGCTCAGGCAGGCTGTATACAAACTACTGCCAGCTGCGCCCTCTCTGTTGGACTTTGGTACTGCATGTTACTTACGCGATTTAGATCCGGGGCTTATCATGAAAGATCCGGGGCTTCAGCCCAAGTAGCCGGGCTGAAGCCGCCCCTGATTTTTAGCAGCAGACAACAATCTCGTTTCACTTGAAACGTAATCAAATAGAATACTGGATTCATCAATGGAGGATTTGAGAGAATACTGGAATACTAAAATGTTCGACAGCTGCAGACCTACCAAAACTACAAATATGGCATCAGCTCAGGAACGGTGCCCATTTCAAACGGCTTTGCCATCAACTTTTATTCGTGGGGCTTTTCTTTGAGAGTTTGAAGTCCTTTATATGAAAACAGGAAGTAACTTCTTCTCCAACGGTGTTTGGCGCACTGCCCCCTGACTGACTGACGTAGCAATGAAAAAGTCAAGGTGTTCATTTCTCTGACTGGTCCTAACGTTGTCCAAATGCAAGTCGACAGTTTGAAAAGAAAATCGCACATTCTGCCCCACGACTGGGTGGTTTTGGGTCGTGGCTGGCCAGGCTACCACATCAGCACATTTAATGTTGATTAGTATTGTTTACTCATGTTTTTTTTTTTTATCATGACATAATTTTTTATGTTCAGCACTCTGGTGAAGGTTTATTCATTTAAAACGGGCTTCATAATCCAAGTGTGAGTTTTCTGATTGAGTTAATTAACCCCTTAAATTTTCAGGTTTAATGAGGTTTGGTCCCATGGGCGGGACGCTGGAATGTTAAGGGGTTAACGTTTCTCCCTTAAATAGCCTAAATCTAAAGCATTTTTCTAAAACGTTTGCATGAACGTATTGAGGTCAGTCTGCAATCAAAGGTTTATTTTGTTTTGCTGCTTCTGCACATCTGAGTACTGGATTTTCCGACTAGCTGGCCTGAACAACCTCTAAGCCTTTAGGCTCGGTATAAACGTATAAACTGTTAATGGTGTTGCTGAGAGACCTGCTACGATACTCACCATCCCCAAAAGCTTTTTCCCTGAATCCAAGGAGACGGATATGTCCCCGTTTCTCCAGCTGTCATCTCCGATTTCATCGCTCTGGAGGAACTCGCTGAGTTTCTGGACGCTGCGGGAACAAACACGACTATGTGAGAAGCGAGATTTCAATCGCCGTAATCTCAGAGGAGCTTAGAGTTCCTCGTCTCTTCTGTCATCTTTCCTTTAATTAGATCTTGACCAGTTTGTTTTCCTTGTTTAGTGATCTTCTCTTTCACAACAACCCCATCAGCTGCTTCAACAGAGACTCACCTGACGAGGGCCTTAACGGCAAATCTGACGACAGTTGAGAGCAGGAAGAGCGGAGTGACCAGGATGTGGAACAACGCCAGCGCTGCGAATGCCTCAGAGGAAGTGGGACCAGTTTTATCCAGGAAGTGATGCGTCACAAACGTCTACAAGAAAGGATTTCATGTTTTACCTCTGCTCCTTTGTGTTCAGCGACTCCTATGGCTATAAACAATAATATAACTGGACTTTTAACAAATAAGAGTCAAAATGAAATGTAAAATTCTCTTACAGCAAGAACAGCAGCGATGGGAATTGCAGCATTCATGAAAACTGCACAAAGAGGAAACAATTTTTAAAAGAAATTTAAAGATTTTTTTTTTCTAAAAAAAAAAATAAAAATAACTCACTAATATAACAGAAAAATGAAAAATATCTTCTGACTAAACGTTAATTCACACATAAACAGATTTTTTTTTTCCAAACATGTTTTCTGAAAAGTTTCTAGGAGATACAAATTCCTCAAACCACCTTTGGAAAACCCAACTGATCTTCAGTGGAGTTTCTTCATCTATTAAACCCTCATCATTATTTATCATTATGTCATTTATTTATCATTATATCATTTTAAATCACCAAACTTTCATGTAGTCAAGAACCGTGAGAAAAATCTGAACGATTGAACCTGGCTGCCATGGAAGTAGGGCGTCGTAAAAGAAGAACACACCAACAGATAGCTGCACCGTTAACAGTAGCTATGGTGATGTCATCCCCCTTAGCACACCTGTGTCATGTGTTTGGTGTAGCGTTACCAGCCCTGACGTTTTCTATTATAATGCTACGTTAGTGCTAAAAATTCCCATTCCTCTTCAGTGAATGACTATGTTACCGCAGGGCAACAACAAGCACACCTCAGCAAGCAATGTCTGGTTGTATTAGCAGCTTCATGCTGGTGTGATGAACTACGCATCATTAGAATTATCGCCAGATATTTGGTAAGTAGTCAGTTATCAAAATAATAATTTGTTGCATCAAACTTTTAAAGTGAATTCTGCCATTTTAAATGTTTATATCCCGTTTTCTGGAAGCAAAGTTAATTAAAAATTTAATAATTCACTTGAGAAAGGAGATCGCGGATACAAGCGGCAGAAATTAGTTTTCTCCGCGGGGTGGCTGGGCTCTCCCTTAGAGACAGGGTGAGAAGCTCGGTCATCCGGGAGGGGCTCGGAGTAGATGCGCTGCTCCTCCACATCAAGAGGAGCCAGTTGAGGTGGCTCAGGCATCTGGTTAGGATGCCTCCTGGACGCCTCCCTGGTGAGATTTTTCTGGGCACGTCCAACTGGGAGGAGACCTAAAGGTAGACCCAGTGCACGCTGGAGGGACTGTCTCTCACCTGGCCAGGGAACGCCTTCCCCCAGAGGAGCTGGCCCAAGTGGCTGGCGAGAGGGAAGTCTTGGCCTCTCTGCTTAAGCAGCTGACCCTGCGACCCAACCCTGGATGAGTGGACAATGGATGGATGGATGGATGGATCTCACTTGAGAAACTTATCTGCCTAAAAACATGTCTGAAAATCAGCCAAAGTCCCTGAATCTGTTTTGCTGCTGTAACTAGAAGTTATGAGTGACCAGATCTTATTTGAAAGACTAACATTTGAAGCTATTTGGTTTGCCAAGTCCAGCTGCCATTTTTTAATCCTCTTTCATAAAACAATAGCGCCAATTTGGAGCAAAGCTGAGGCAGCATCAGGGAGCCTTCGGTCATCCATAAGTGGTCAGACTGTGGCGGTAACGTAGCAGGATCACAAGCTTTCCACAAAAGATCATGGACTTCCTTTCAGCTTGGAAATAACTTAGTTTTTTTAATGATCTTTTATTGAAGAAAAGCATATAGGGTTGTACATTTACTCATGACATTGAATATGTTCTGTTGCTTTATCACTTTTTAACTTTTGTTGCATGAACATCAGAACTGTATGGGTGATGGGGCAGCCAAGTCATTGCCATATTATTTGTGCTTTTAATGCACCTTTACAGCGCTGTATACTTCACAAAAAAAGAACTCAGATGTTACAGGCTTAATATATTCAGTCCATTTGGACCATATCCTGAAGAAAACGTCTCTTTGCAAGGTTAGTGAGAACGACATTCCCCGCTCTGGGGAATCTCCAACCCTTCACGTAACAACTTCTCCACAAACTCACTCATTATGGAGGAGTCCTTCGCCATGTCTGGCACACCATAGATACGAACGTTATCCCTCCTCAAACGTTTTTCCAGGTCCAGTAGTTTGTCCTCCAGCTTCACTTGTAGCTTTAGCATTTCTGCCACGGCCTTCTCAGCATTCTGAATTCTCTCCTCTGCCTTCTCAATGCGTACTTCTGCCTCGTCCATTCTAGCGCTCATCTTAACCATTTCTTCCTTAATCACCCCCAAACTCTCCTTACTTTCTTGTCGAAAATCCCTCAGTTCCTTGAGTATCACTTCCATATCGGTCATATTTTCTTCTCGGTGGGATTAAATCGCTCAGTGCGGAGCTTCATGTAAAGCAGCTAAGCTAGTTAGCCGTAGCCGAGCAGCTAGCGATAGTTCGTCTGGTTGAAGCGCCCTCCCTTTTGCTCCTACTGCGCTGTAGTTCTGGTGTAATCCTCTTATCCCCTCATTATTCCATCTTCGAGGACGAGTTCGCACAGTTTTAACAGGATAAATGTTATTAATTTCTCAGGTCTTGGAGAGAGCTCCGCCACGTCACTGCCATCTTGGTGACGTACAAACCGGAAGTCCCATAACTTACATTTTATCATGATTGAAGCCGTGCTCCTTAAGTTTTTTGACAAGCTGCTCCTGAAGGTGTCTGTCCGCCACAATCCCCGAGAACTGTCTGGTGATCTGAGCTCCAGCTTTAATGAGAAAAGCTCCCGGAGCTCTGCATCGCTCCAGTTTATCATCTCAGCTGGTTCTAACTTACCGCCTGTGTTAACTTTCTTTTTCGATATAGTTGACAGCCAGGGTTCGACGGTAATTCCACACGTTATCATGACACCACCCTCTGTTGCGCCAAGGCGGAATCTTCATTCAGAAGTCCGGCGTTCCGGTAATATTAGTGCCAAGCGTGATGCCACAAAAGCCGCAAAGCTGCCAGATTGCCATGCTGCCACAACGCTTCCGTAAGACACACCGTAGCAGCAATTTTAAGCTGAATTCATTAAAAAGACACATGAAACTGAGACACAACATCCTTAAATAACCTTCACAATAAAAGCTCAGTACAAATGCACATTCTCAACCAAAAACACCTCTAAGAGCATTTAGAACATTACGATAACTTACAAAACCATCAGACTGGAGGCATTGTGGTTTGCTCCTGCAGACTATAATTCTTATTTGATATTACTAATAACGAATGCTTCCACTCATAAAGCACTTTAATATAATTGATGGGAAGCCCAGTAATGCTGATAACTTTAGTTTGTAAGAGAACTTTCTGCGTATTTTTGAAATCCTGCGATAATTCTGTTAACTGTGAAAATTTTTCAACACTAGTCATAACAGAAAACATTTACAGTGTTTCATCCCTTTCAGAGGAGCTTTGGTTGAGAACAAAGGAGGTGTTTCAGGAACATCAGGATTAAAGAGCTTCTGAAAAACGTCCTTCATGCAGCAGAATATCCTTATATCTCCTGGTGTTGCAGATTCTCATCTTACTGGACATGGATGTGTAGAAAGCAAACGTCCTGAGGCTGGTGAGCTCTTTGCCTCTGGTTTGCTCCACGTTGTCACAGAAGATGTCCTCCCAGGCGTAGAGCTTCAGCAGCTTTATGCCCTTTAAAATCTCTGTTGTCTTCTTCAGCCGGTCAGTGGAGTGTTCCTGAAAGGAAAGAAAACTGTTTAGAGACTAAAGGGAAAACCTCTGGGTTGTGCTTTAGCGTTTGAAGGTCTCCACAAGCACGTTACACAGAGAAGCAGAGAAAAATCGTAGATTCAGAGCTTACTAGAGTACATTTCTGTGTGTCTGCCAGCTTTGTAGCAATAAGATACTGAACAGGAGCCAGTAGAACGATGACAGATGCTCCTATCAAAGCGCTCCAACCCAGCAGGTAGTAAAGCAGGATCACCCCCATCACAATCTGAAAGCAAAGGGAAACAACAGTTTGAACTTAGTTATCGATTCTGATAGATACTGATACTGCTTAGTTTAACATACCTGAACGGGCATAGCCCAGAGGTTGGGGCAGAGGAAGAGGAACCACATCAGCTGATTGGTCTCTATGGCCACCAGGTTGTTTATTTGGCCCAGCGTCATGTCACCCATCGACATGTTAGAAGTGGACAGACGCAGGATTTTGTTGTAAATCATCGCCTGGTCATCAACACATTTACAGAGAAGACTTCGGGTTAAAGCCTGATTTATTCTTCTCCATGAGCTTCGCAACGGAGAGACGCACACGGAGTGTTGGAAAGGTTTTCACATTCGAACTTCTGTTCAGACAGAGGAGCGTTGCAAAGCAACTCCCCTCCAGGACAACAGAGGGTGTAGCGCTGTTCTGTGGTATCCTGCCACCAGAACACTCATGCAAACGGTCTCCGATAGAGTATTTACTAATGTGTTTATATAATTCTGAGACTTTATAACACGGACACCTTCAGGGTTCATTTTAAGATCCTGGTTCTGGTCAATAGGGCCTTACATGGACAAGCACCATCTTACATCTTAGTATGAAAACTACAGGTCCCTGAGGTCCAGTGACCAAAGCCTACTGGTTGTGCAGCACACCAGGCTAAAGACCAAAGGTGACAGATCATTTGCTGCTGTGGCCCAGACTCTGGACCTCTCGCCCCGTGAGCCTGAGATCAGTGGACTCAGTGGTCTCCGTTAAAAAGCAGCTGAAAACTCACCTGTTCAGGCTGGCTTTTGTGTGACCTTCATCACCCTCTCCTTGTTCTGCTCTCCCCACCTATTCCACCTTCCTCAGGATCCACTATTTCCATCTTTCCTATTCACTCTCTCTCTTTCTTTACATTTTTAATCACAATTGTCTATTTTTTGCTCATTCTAAATATATATTTTAATCATTTTCTAAATTCTCTTTTACATTTTTAAATTTTTTGTTTTTGTGAAGCACCTCGTGATTATTATCTTGAGAGGCGCTACAGAAAAGATCTTTTCTTCTCCTACTTCTTCCTCCACCTCTTCATGCAGCCGCCACCTCCAAACCCACATTTCCTGTCATTTCCGTCCGTGTTTGCTCCGTATTTTGTACTCTTCCACTCATGGGTAAATAAATGTTCATATTTTCTGACTTTTTTCTCGACGCGTTCTTCAATCTGTTCTGGGTCTGCCGCTAAATATCGGTTTACTTTTTAACGGAGCTACAGAGGTGCTGGTGACGAATATACAGGAAGCGGCGTCCTGACCAATCAAAAGCTTGCGGTCTCTGTCAGTTTCAGCAGGTGTTTACAATTTTCGGTGAGTCTCCGCACCGACACAGACAGAGAAGTATAAATCAGGCTTAACATGGCGCTGTAGTGATGTTCGTTTATATTGTTTGGTTCGTCTCATCTCGTCTTTTTCTGCCTATTCGGATCCGGGTCGTAGGGGCAGCATCCCAACTAGGGAGTTCCAGACCGTCCTCTCCCCGGCCACCTCCACCAGCTCCTCTGTTAGGGCCTCAAGGCGTTCCCGGGCCAGTTTGAAGATATACTTTTTCCAACATGTCCTGGGCTGACCAGGGGGCCTGAAACACCTCCCTGGGGAGGGGTCCAGGAGGCATCCTAGCAAGATGCCAAAACCACCTCAACCGACTCTTCACGATATGGAGGAGCAGTGGCTCTACTCCGAGTCTCTCCCGAATGTCTGAGTTCCTCACTCTATCCCTAAGGCTGAGCCCGGCCACCCTGCAGAGAAAACTCATTTTGGCCACTTGCATCCGCGATCTTGTTCTCTCAGTCATTACCAAAAGCTCATGACCACAGTTGAGGACTGGGCGGTGGATGGACTGGTAAATCGAGAGCCTTGCTTTCTGGCTCAGCTCCTTCATCACCACAACAAATCAAATCAAATCAACTTTATTTATATAGCACTTTTCATACAAAAAATGCAACTCAAAGTGCTTTACAGATTAAAATGGCCCCATAGGTCCCATATTCCCATCCCAGCCCCCCTCCCCAAGTATAAAACAATTAAAAACGACGGTTCCCCTCCCGCACCCAACTTCCAAAGTGGACATACAATCACCCGCACGCTCGTCCATGCACACACACACACACACACTCTCACACACACACACACACACACACACACACACACACGCTCGTGAACAACTGAGTAAACAATAGGCTGAGTTCAGATGGGTCAGGTAATGAACGACACATCATCAGCGGAGCCATCTGCCCTGGCAGCAACAGATCCACGGCAGCAGCCAGGACACCGGCCCATGACGCCCAGTGGCAGAGGGCAGAAACCCCCAGCACTGCCCGGGCACTGCCCGGGCACTACTCGAGGCGCGCCCCAGCCGGTTCAGCGTCCGAAGCACTGCAGACGCTGCCCCAATCCGCCTGTCGATCTCCCGCTCCCTCCATCCCTCTCTCTTGAACAAGACCCCGAGATAAACTCCTCCACTTGAGGTAGGACCTCTCTCCCGACCCGGAGTTGGCAAGCCACCCTTTTCTGGTCGAGAACCATGGTCTCAGATTTGGAGGTGCTGATCCTCATCCCAGCCGCTTCACACTCGGCCACGAACCTGCCCAGCAAGAGTTGAAGGTCAGAGCTGGATGAAGCTAGGAGGACCACATCATCCGCAAAAAGTAGAGACGAGATTCTCCTGCCACCAAACTCGACACACTCTACACCACGGCTGCGCCTAGAAATTCTGTCCATAAAGGTAATGAACAGAACCGGTGACAAAGGGCAGCCCTGGCGGAGTCCAACCCTCACCGGGAACAGGTCCGACTTACTACCGGCTATGTGGACCAAACTCACGCTCCTCTGGTAAAGGGACTGAATGGCCCTTAGCAGAAAGCTACTGACCGCATACTCCTGGAGCGTCCCCCACAGGATGCCCCTGGGGACACGGTCATAAGCCTTCTCCAAATCCACAAAACACATGTGGATTGGTTGGGCAAACTCCCATGCCCCCTCCATCACCCTTGCAAGGGAATAGAGCTGGTCCACAGTTCCACGGCCAGGACGAAAACCACATTGCTCCTCCTCAATCTGAGATTCAACTATCGATCGGACGAAACACCACTCGAGTTCAGATCAGGTGGGCCGTTCCTCCCAATCACACCCCTCTAGGTCATGCTGTCATAGCCCACGTGAGCATTGAAGTCCCCCAGCAGGACAATGGAGTCCCCTGATGGAGCACTATCTAGCACTCGTCAGTCAAGAGCCACAAATTCATTCAAGCTTCACAGAAATGTTCAAAACCTCAATTTACAATCAATCCTGAGGACTTTTAAACACTTCCTCAAATTTTGAATCCAACAAGACATCTACACGGTGACTGAACTGCTGCCTCATCAGGTGGCTGATCATAACAAAGCAACAAGATCTTAAGGGTCTTATTTTCCATGATGACTTGCTCACCAGTAGTGCTCCTCGTAGGTTGATGCCCGTCTCGATGGTGACGTAATAAGAAGCCTGCAGGAAGGTTCTTTGCAGAATCAAAGCCAAGAAGAGAAGAACAGCCAGGACTGAGCTGTTCTGCAGAAGCTCGGTGGTGGACATGAAGTAGACACCTAAATACGTTTCCTACAAACAAACAAACATAATCACATTTATTAGTTTCAGCTCAAGGTTTCCATCCGAGAATCTAGCCTATTAAACTGTTCAACCAAACCAAATACTCACTAAAATTAATCCATGAGGATTTATTTAGGCAAAAATCAACTTCTGGGCGATATTTACTCAAGAGATGCATCAGATAATTGGCATGTCATCGGACTCTACCAATAGATTTGTCAAAATAATACATGGGAATTGGCCAACTGAGACTAGTTCAGGGCCTTGCAGCTTGGCGAGGAACGGTCCAGCTCTGCATAAAAGGACCAAATAGGAGGCCTCTTTATCACAAATGTACAGGTGCTGGCCAGTAAATTAGAATATCATCAAAAGGTTGAAAATATTTCAGTAATTCCATTCAAAACGTGAAACTTGTACATTATATTCATGCAATGCACACAGACCAATGTATTTCCAATGTTCATTACATGTAAATTTGATATTCATAAGTGACAACTAATGAAAACTCCAAATTTGGTATCTCAAAAAATTAGAATATTCTGAAAAGGCTGAATATAGAAGACACCTGCTGCCACTCTAATCAGCTGATTTACTCAAAACACCTGCAAAGGCCTTTAAAAGGTCCCTCAGTCTTGTTTTGAAGGCACCACAATCATGGGGAAGACTTCTGACTTAACAGCTGTCCAAAAGACAATCATTGACACCTTGCACAAGGAGGGCAAGACACAAAAGGTGATTGCTAAAGAAGCTGGCTGTTCGCAGAGCTCTGTGTCCAAGCACATTAACAGACAGGCGAAGGGACGGAAAAAATGTGGTAGAAAAAAGTGTACAAGCTCTAGGGATAACCGCACCCTGCAGAGAATTGTGACGACAAACCCATTCAAAAATGTGGGGGAGATCCACAAAGAGTGGACTGCAGCTGGAGTCAGCGCTTCAAGAACCACCACGAGGAGACTCATGAAAGACATGGGATTCAGGTGTCGCATTCCGTGTGTCAAGCCACTCTTGAACAAGAAACAGCGCAAGAAGCGTCTCGCCTGGGCCAAGGACAAAAAGGACTGGACTGATGCTGAGTGGTCCAAAGTTATGTTTTCTGATGAAAGCAAGTTCTGCATTTCCTTTGAAAATCAAGGACCCAGAGTCTGGAGGAAGAGCGGAGAAGCACAGAATCCACGTTGCATGAGGTCCAGTGTAAAGTTTCCACCGTCAGTGATGGTGTGGGGTGCCATGTCATCTGCCGGTGTTGGCCCACTCTGTTTCCTGAGGTCCAGGGTCAATGCAGCCGCCTACCAGGAAGTTTTAGAGCACTTCATGCTTCCTGCTGCTGACCAACTTTATGGGGATGCAGACTTCACCTTTCAACAGGACTTGGCACCTGCACACAGTGCCAAAACCACCAGCACCTGGTTCAAGGACCATGGTATCCCTGTCCTTGATTGGCCAGCAAACTCGCCTGACCTTAACCCCATAGAAAATCTATGGGGTATTGTGAAGCGGAGGATGCAATACGCTAGACCCAACAATGCAGAGGAGCTGAAGACGACTATCAGAGCAACCTGGGCTCTCATAACACCTGAGCAGTGCCACAGACTGATCGAGTCCATGCCACGCCGCATTACTGCAGTTATTGAGGCAAAAGGAGCCCCGACTAAGTATTGAGTGCTATACATGCACATTCTTTTCATGTTCATTCTTTTCAGTTGGCCAACATTAGAGAAACAAACATTTTTTCATTGGCCTTTAGAATATTCTAATTTTCTGAGATACCAGATTTGATGTTTTCATTGGTTGTCACCTATAAATATCAAATTTAAATGTAATGAACATTGGAAATACATTGGTCTGTGTGCATTGCATGAATATAATGTACAAGTTTCACGTTTTGAATGGAATTACTGAAATATTTTCAACCTTTTGATGATATTCTAATTTACTGGCCAGCACCTGTATGTAAAAACTCAAACATGGATAAAAATTTGTTAGAAAATAGAGGTTTTAGGCAAAAACACAGCTTTTTACAATCCTCAATTGTAATTTTGCAGATCAACAACAGGCCAAAGCTGCTATAGGTAATTAATACGGACAAAACGGAACATCTAAATATGATGTACATCAGTGAAATAACAGAAATGTCAGAAAAAACTGTGATAATGATGGAAAATGACGATGTTTTAAAATATGGTGGCATTAACAAAACTTCTATCAGAGAAGCAATTTGTCAACTTTAGGACTGCAGACAAGTCGGGCCAGTGTCAAGTCTTTTTTCATTTCACACAGTTTTTGAATTGAATAGAATAGCTTTATTGTCATTGCAAGCAATACAACAAAATTAGGTGCACCCCTCTAGTGTATAAGCATAAATAAACATAAAATCATAAATAATAAATAAACATAAATAAATAAAATAAATAAATAAAACCAAGACGCTCAACCTTAAAATGCATAAGGCAGTAAAACCAATAAAACCAGGGCAATAAAATCTACAATCAGGGTAGGCCTGCTAAAGGCCGTTCAGTGACTATTCAGTGCTGTCACAGCTGAGGGACAAACAATGATCTTATATGCAGTGTTGATGGTCTTCCTGTGGGCTATAGTGCAGCTGGAAAACCACACACCCAAGCAGTAACACAGAATGCTGTCAATAGGGCACCGATAGAAGGACAGCATCAGATTTTGGGGAATGATGTTTGTCCTGGGAACTCTAAGAAAATAGTCTCTGCTGCACCTTCTTTGCCAACTGTTGTGTTGGTTCCCCAAGTCAGCTCCTCTGTTATGTGAACTCCCAGGTATCTGAAGATCGACACACATTCCACACAGACCCCTTGAATAAAGAGTTGGTGAAGGTCTGTTGTCTTCTTCCTGAAATCCACTCATCTCCTTGGTTTTGTCAGTGTTCAGGAGCTGATTATTCCCTGAGCACTATGTGGTCAACCGTTCCACTTCTGCTCTGTAGGGAGTCTTATCCCCCCTGGAATTGTGCTCATTCCCCCTGGAATTTTTAATCTGTCACTGCCCCTGGCCTCAAACCCATCTTGTCTGAAGTCCTCAACTGTTCTTCCACTTTTCAATTTGATTAGCAGCAAATCACTTTGGAAGATTAAAAGATTTGCTTTCGGAAGTTTGTAGACAAAGAATTCTGGAGGAAAGAGATGCTGACAGAAACTCTCACTCCTGAGTCTCCAGCTAACACAACATGCATGTATGTGGGAGAAGCCCCAGACATGCATGGAGAGAACATGCATACTCCACGCAGAAAGGCTGTAGATGGGATTCAAACTTGTAACCTTCTAGCTGCAAGGCAACAGTGCTCCCAACTATACCACTATGCACCTCTGCAGATGGTCGTCACACCTCATTACACCACAGATAGCAAACATAGCTTTGGTTTTAACTTCTATGTGAAAAGTTAGTTTGTGTTATCACCACCAACAAACATCAGAATGGCATCTGTGGATGAGTTCTGAGCTCATCTGGATGTGGTGTTAGTTTATAATATGGTGATAGTCTAATATCTGGTCTAGTCTAAAATCCAGTGCTAGTCTAATGCGTGGTGTTAGTTTAATATCTGTTGCTAGTTTAATATCTGGTGCTAGTCTAATATGTGGTGCTAGTCTAATATGTGGTGCTTGTCTAATATCTGGTGCTAGTCTAATATCTGGTCTAGTGTAACATCTGGTCTAGTCTAATATCTGGTGCTCGTCTAATATCTGGTGCTAGTCTAATATCTGGTCTAGTCTAACATCTGGTGCTAGTCTAATGTGTGGTGTTAGTTTAATATATGTTGCTAGTCTAAGAAGAAGAAGAAGAAAGTATCATTTCTATAGCGCCTCTCAAGATAAAAATCACGAGGCACTTAAAGGCGCTAGTCTAATATCTGGTCTAGTCTAATATCTGGTCTAGTCTAATATCTGGTGCTAGTCCAATATCTGGTGCTAGTCTAATGTGCGGTGTTAGTTTAATATCTGGTGCTAGTCTAATATCTAGTCTAGTCTAATATGTGGTGCTAGTCTAACATCTGGTCTAGTCTAATATCTGGTGCTAGTCTAATATCTGGTCTAGTCTAAAATCCAGTGCTAGTCTAATGTGTGGTGTTAGTTTAATATCTGTTGCTAGTTTAATATCTGGTGCTAGTCTAATATGTGGTGCTAGTCTAATATGTGGTGCTTGTCTAATATCTGGTGCTAGTCTAATATCTGGTCTAGTCTAACATCTGGTGCTAGTCTAATGTGTGGTGTTAGTTTAATATATGTTGCTAGTCTAAGAAGAAGAAGAAGAAAGTATCATTTCTATAGCGCCTCTCAAGATAAAAATCTCGAGGCACTTAAAGGCGCTAGTCTAATATCTGGTCTAGTCTAATATCTGGTCTAGTCTAATATCTGGTGCTAGTCTAACATCTGGTGCTAGTCCAATATCTGGTGCTAGTCTAATGTGCGGTGTTAGTTTAATATCTGGTGCTAGTCTAATATCTAGTCTAGTCTAATATGTGGTGCTAGTCTAACATCTGGTCTAGTCTAATATCTGGTGCTAGTCTAATATCTGGTCTAGTCTAATATGTGGTGCTAGTCTAATATCTGGTGCTAGTATAATATCTGGTCTAGTCTACGATCTGTTCTAGTCTAATATCTGGTCTAGTCTAATATCTGGTGCTAGTCTAAAATCTGGTGCTTGTCTAATATCTGGTCTAGTCTACGATCTGGTCTAGTCTAATATCTGGTGCTAGTCTTATATCTGGTCTAGTCTAATAGCTGGTTCTAGTCAATTATATGGTCTAGTCTACTATATGGTGCTAATATAGTATGTGGTGCTAGTCTAATATGTGGTGCTAGTCTAATATGTGCTACTAGTCTAATATCTGGTGCTAGTCTAATAGCTGGTCCTAGTCTAATATGTGGTGCTAGTCTAATTACTGGTGCTAGTCTAATTTGTGGTGCTAGTATAGTATGTGGTGCTAGTCTAATATCTGGTGCTAGTCTAATATGTGGTGCTAGTCTAATATGTGCTGCTAGTCT